TATACCAGCATTCATGACACCACCAGCTTCCATCTCAGTTAGGTTCCATACAGCAAGGTACTGTGCATCTTCTGCTCCTCCTGAAGAGTCTGAGAGCACCAAGTACCTCACAGAAGGACCACAGCCCTCTGTAGAATTAAACCTTAATACAAGATAGCCCATCAATGTTTTTGTGAACTGTTGAAAAATATGCTGACAAGTATAAAAGAAAATAGTCATTTGGAATTTGGCAGAGAAAAGCCACTCTAAATCATTTCCAACTGCAATAAGTCTTTGCCCCTGTTTTATGAGTAATAGAAGAGACTCTCCCTGTTTTATAAACTCATTCAGTTAATATGTTTAAGAAAGTAGACAAGTTTCCCTCCTGCAGGGGTTTTCAAATATTGTCTTTCCTTGTGGCTGCCAGTATTTCAACATCCCATTCCAGAAACACTGTTTATTACTCTTTGTGAAAAAAAAAGAAAAAAAAATGGTGCATATGAGGAAAAGAAAAATGGCTAGAACAACAAAAATTGGTAATGACAGTTATGTATTTGTTAGGGAATAATAACGGGTGTATGCTGCTCCCTGCTGCTACAGTACACCAGAAGAGTAGGCAGAATGTACGTCTTTTCACTCTACATAAGGTGGCAAAAATATTTCCAGGATGTTCTACAGACAGGCAAGAGCTCTTACCTCCAATAACCTCCACGTCGATGTGACCTGCAACTTCAAGACTAAGTTCTCAGTGCATTTCAACTCAATTCTGCAGCCATTTCAGCTCTTGAAGAATAAGTACTGAGCAGCCTTAGTCCCATCACTCAAATCAGTGGGACTCAAGTATCCTCAAGGTTTCCTCTCGATGTGCTCAGAACTTTCAATGCTCCTGCAGCCAAGCAATTTTCCTCTCTTCTGAGCTGCACAAATTTGCTGCTGACCCACATGGAGCTAAACCTCCCAGGGCCCTTCCCTGTGTGCCCGTGGAAGTTCTGATTTCACTCTGTCCTTTCCAAGAGGAACAATGATGCATACACCAAACAGTGTATTGCTCTGTCCCTCCACAGCGACTCCTGCCTTAATTAGGAGGACTTCTGCAGAACATGTATTATCTACCATGCCAGGACCACCATACTATCATATCGTGCAGAATTCAGCCATTTTATCACCATCAGATCTGATTATTTCTTTATTTAGCAGCTACTAACATGTTTGGAGATGCAAAAATCACATCACTTAACGTTCTGAAAGGCAGAAGTAGGAAATACCTCAGTGAAGAATGGATTCCATAATTAGAAAAAGTGAAGGGGCCAGCTTTTTTCCCCCCTCATCAAGTTTGGGAAGCTCTAAACAATATGCAAAGGCAAAAGGGGAAAATGGTTACAGTACTGAGAAGGCTAAAATTTGAATGAGATAGTAACAAACCTTTCTTGTGGAAGGAAAAGGAAACGAGTGATTCTGAAAAAGCTCCTGTGATAAATCATCACCCCTGCATGAAATTCCATTCATATATGCTGCACTATCTGGTAGTAATGTTAGAGAAAAACAAAAAGGAACAAAAACTTAGCAACAAACAAGTTTATAAAGAACAAAATATAGCTTGCTGGAATTGCTGAGCTCTTTCATAGTTCGAACAGTAGAAGAAGATTTCAGAATCAAACAAGAGTTTCAACAGCTATATTTGTATTACAGTCATAAAGGCATAAATGTGAAATACAGCTCTAATAAAAAAATGAAGTTTATAAAACTGGATGGTAATTTTCCACCCTTTCCAGAAGTATCTCAGAATATCCAGGGGAATAATACCTGAAAGAGAAACATTTTGTTTGTGCATTAGACTACAAGGCATGTTCTGTGCTAAGTAATAAAACACTATTTGTATTTCTATTGATCAGGAAAAAATCCTAGCATTAAACACTGGCCAAGGAATTCTACAGTTATTCCCCTACAATGTTTTAAGAGCTTGCTTTTCAACTTACATTATCATTTATACTTGGAAGTCAGGCTTTCAAAAATACATTTAGCTTCTTTCAGAGCATGTAGTTAAGTGGCTAGTTTTTAGATAGGGTCAGCAGCTGTAAGCATTGTCTTTACTGCAAAATGTAGATGTTAACTTCTTTTGAAATTATGGCCTTTAATAAAAAAGCATGAGTTTACACAGAACCATAGGCTGCCAGACGACAATAGTCTACTGCTGTTCATCAAACATAAGCACACACCCCAAAGCTAATGTGAAGTCTACATCAATGTGAGAGACATTGATTCAGGAACAAAAAATTTATCACAATGACCTTCTGTCTTTAATCCAACTCAAGGACAGAGATTATCCAATAGGTTTTCATTAGAGTAGGACTCTATGGTGCCATTATTGTCCTGCTGTCATTCAGTTGGTTTTCCACAATGGACCAACTACATGCTTCCAATATGCAAGCACCACCAAAGCTGCATTTAGTTCTTGTTTTCCAGGTTAAGAGTAGCTGACATTTACTACTGTGTTATTCTAAAAACATACATATCAGTACATTTCTGGTTTTGCAGGCATGTAAATTGTCATCTCAGAGCCCTGGAAGCGTTAACTATAAAGAGAGAGAAACACACTTCCATGTAATGCATGCCTAAAATATAGAAATCCCCAGTGTTTTCATACTGAAGGAAGATCCATTTACCTTGTTCATTTCCATTTTCTGGATGATTTCTGCATAATGTAAGTCTTTTTAAAACTCATATTAGTTCTCTGATTGTAAAGCTAACTTTTTAATGCATTATTATATTCAGTCTGCAAACAGCCTAAAATAACAGGTCTCCAGGACAAACCCAGACCTGGAGTCTATTATAGCAGCTGTGCCTCAGGCAGCAGAACCAACATCAGGCAGTAGCACAAAGAGGCAAGCAGGAGATGCTCGAAGGGGCCCTTTTCTTTATTAGATCCCAGCCTACATAAGTAACCTTGTTTCATTTACAGGGGGAAAAAAAAAAAAACAGCTATAACAAAGATACATTAATTATATTCAGAAAAGTGTACACAAATGTCCTCTTTCCCTCTGAAGTATCAGTGTTTGTAGCTGCAAATAAAGTTTCTTTATGATTTTGCTTCACCCGTTTGACAGTCACTGGATTTTCCTTGGGGAGACAAACAGGGCTTCACTTTGCATGACTTAGTTTGTAGCTACTATTAGCTGAAGAACTCTGTTGCTATAATTAAAATTGATGATGCAGATTTTCAGAGCCTGTAGAGGGAGTGCACGAGTACAGCATCCTTTTGATGTGTTGATGGAGTGAAGGACTGGTAAATGGATATCTAGAATCTAGGAGGGCATTTCTCTCATTATTACAATTTAGGATGGTGACATTTTGACTGTAAGCTATTTAATAGTGTTTCTGTATTCATTAAGGGCAAAGTTCATCTTGGTGCAGACAGCTGGTGTATGGTCCTTTTATATAACACTTAAGCCTTATGATGAAGCTGGGGGAGGAAGGGCAGCTGTGGGCAGAGCAACTGTGCAGGATAGCCTCTGGACCCTCTGTACATCAGAGGAAGTTTCAAAGGAGCCTCTGGATACCCTAGAACATACAGGCTCTTAGGGAAGTCAAGGATGCAAGCAAAGACTCACCAATACCTGTAGTTTGGAGCCTGAGTAACCCATAAATAAGTTACTAAGATAAACTGAACTTCCCACAGACATTCATTAATATGAGAGTAGTTGTGCTGAAGCCTCAGAGTTTGCCTGGGTAGTGCAGGACTGACTCTTTTTCCCCAGTTTCCTGCAAGAGCCTGATTATTTGGCCTTTGTTTGCAGACAAAGAAATTTCATCCCAAAAACAATCAGAAAAAAGAAAGTGTTCAAAAGTATGTGTTTCACAGTTGTGTTGCCACTGGGGCAGTTACCCAAATGTTATGCTGTTTTATTAAAAACAAAATTCATGTACCAGTTAAATTAATATTTTAAATCCTTGCTTTGTGTTGTTCCTGTAAAAAACATCTAACAACGTTACATGTATTAATTTTTTAAATTTCATTTTCCCTACCTTACTATTTCCTCTGGATAGCAATTGTTAATAGTGTTGATATATTCCTGAAGAAGTGACCCAGGTTCTGCTTTTATTTCTTGAACCTTTTTAAGTCCACCAGTTGTTACAAAGAGACGACGTGCTTTACTGTCATGTGGTAACACCTACACACAGAAAAGTACATAAAAAAGAAAAAGAACATTTTCTTTTAAAGGAATCTCTATGCTACTAGGTTCAGCTATTGCTTATCTGGTTTTAATTCAGAGGACAGATAAAATGGAACACATCAGAGGTACAACATCTGTAATGACTACTGCATTTTAACACCCAGTTGTACAGGAAAAAAATCATAAACCAGCCCTTTATGGTTATAACACAATTTAGCACGTACTTTAATACATAACATATATAAAAATACTGAACTGAATATTTATCTCTATGTAAATAATATTTCTTGAATTATTCCTACAGAGACAATATGATTGCGGAGATTAAATAGATAATAAAAACAGAACACTAACATGGAATAACAACAGCATCTGTTCCACTTAAACCAAGTTATTCAGGTCTTTTATGTCAATTCCCACAGTTTAATTGTAGAGCAGAATTTTATATCATTATAATGATCTAGTATAGATTAGTGCATGAAAACAATACTGAGAATTGTTGCAAGTGAACAATGCAGCCTTGAAGCATTACATGCTACTATTAGATTCCTAGATATTAAAATCCTACAACACACTGTGTAGCCATGGAAGCCTGTTACAAACACACACACACAAAGCAAAAATGTGAAGTTCCTGCAGCCAAAGGGGATGAGAGGCAGAAATGATCAGACAATACATTCCGCGCTCCCTGAGTGATGCCAATATGCGGCTCTGTCCAGAGGACGGGAAGGAGGGAGGGAGCAAGAGAGGGAGCGAGGGAGGGAGGGAGGGAGGTGGGGGCTGGGCCAGGCAAGGGAGGATGACAGCATGTAGTCCATAGGCCCACAGGGCTGCAATAATATTAAAAAAAAAAAAAGGGGGGTGGGGGCGGAAGAGAGAGAGATCATGCAAGATGTCAGCTGCACCTACAACAAAACCAGATGGGTTTAAAACCAACTCTGAGCGTTACATACTATGGGGGCAAAAGCATTTTGTAAGCCTTCACATTGGTCAGACAAATCAAGCCATAAATTTGACTGTATCTCAGTGTAAAACAAAAGCCTTGACGGGAGGAAAGGATTGCCTAAAAAGATAAAGGATGAGATTTCTGTCATGCATGTAGGCAAACAGCCTTCATTTCTCTGGTCCCTCTAGGCTGTACAAAATCAACAGACAGGTAAAGAAAAAACAGGGGAGCATAGAGACTTCTCCCTACTATACGCTTCACAGAAGTGTCAGGAACAACGGTGCTCATTTCATTCTGGGAGCTGAAAAGACGGCTGTTTCCACCTATCTCCCACAACAAGAACTGCCAAGGAGGAACTAGCAAGGAGCCAGGATATGGCCCTTCCCCTGCCTTCCTCCTCCACACTGTGACTCCCAGGCTGGGCAAGATAGTAGAAAACTCTCTTGGAAGAGGCCCTAAAGACAGACAGCACCTCTGAGACACGGTCCCTTCCCCCAGTCCAAACTGAGACAGCACAGAATTGCACAGACCCTGAAAAGGACAATGCTAAAGTGACACAGTCCAGCACCAGGAACGAATAGCATCCCACTCTGAAGCACAGCTCGGAAATAAGGCTTTTACTGTGCTATAAATAAGCCCTCAGAAGTAATGCACCACAGCTCTAAGAATAGGAAATTGCCAAGCTGGGGTACAGCAGAGAAAAATGCTTCTACTGCAACGAACTTACTTTTAAATGTATACTTCAGAAGAGCAAATGCCAGACAAGTATAGTTTATTTAATACAGTGTAGGAGAAGAAGAAAAACAAAACAAAACATCAGCTGATATGAAGGGTACAAAACCACTGCAAGCGCAAACAACATTCAAATTTATACACTGTGTAACCAGCTACTATGCACTCAGCTCTTTAGTAGCTCTAGTCAGCACACAGAAGCAAAAGGCACTGGATTCTGTGCAAATCTCCAGTCTTTGTACAGACTTAGCAAGAAGACAGGACAAACCCGAGTGTGGCAATGTAATGAGGAATCTGCACCATAAACAGTAGTGCTTCCAGATCTGTGATCATCAGAGATGAATATCACCAAAAGTGTTTTACTTGGCCATTTCCAGAAAGAACACCTCTCCAAGAGAACCTGGTACCCCCTGCTAACAGATTACACTGCAGAATATTGCACAAAAGAAAGGTCTATAGTTGAGCAGGATTCCCAGCAGCTGGTGAACGTTGCAGACACTGGAAATCTGATGATTAGTTAGCAATTACTTAAATAATTTGAAATATTTTGATGGAATTGTATCACTTTTTACATGCTGCACTCAAATCAACAATGTAATTAACAACAAACACCTTCAAATTTTGAGAGGGATGAGAAAAGATTTGGGATTTTTACACTTATTTAATTGAGACTGAAAATTAACAAGGACAGAAATGGTGAAGCCTTTATACTCTAGATAATATTAAAATATCTGACTTAAGTCACTCCTGTACAGACAGCTTGTACTTTATCTAAAACAGATGCCACTGGGATTTATGTGATACATTGCCTCAGTGAAAATACTTGCACGTCAGTTAATACTCCACTTAATCTCAAGAGGCAAGGAAGAAAAAACCACCTTGCTTATAACCAACTGTTTTCCCAGTCTTAGAATGAATTATGGCAGGTTCCAGGTGAAACAGTATTCAGCTTTATCAGACATAAGAATGGGATGCTCCAAACTGCAGGGGATGCTTGAGGAACCTGAGAAAACAACTGAGACCTTTAGAGAGATTTCATCTTTGGAAAGATACCTTCCTTGCTAAATGGAAAACAATTAACGTATTACTCACCAAGCAGAGTCTTTTCTTACCTTACTAAACTGCCCAACAATATGTTTCATAATATTGGGAGGGGCATCGTGCAGCAATGGTTCAAGTGCTGGAAGATACGTGCATTTCTGAAGAATGTTCTTTAAGGCTTTTTTAGTCTATTAAAATGCAAAATAAAATTTCTATAGTAAGACATCAATGAAAACAACAAAAATTCATGTTATATATCACTGAAGTCTGATCAAAAAAACAAACTGATTGGTATTCTCAAAGAACATTTTCTGAATAAAAACTATGATATCAGGTCACTTAATGGAGAATCAATTGTGTACTTAGATTTATTAAACCTCAAAACCTACAGTGTTATGTACAGTCAAAGTAATGGCAATTTTCCTTTGACTACAATGGAATCAGGAGTAGACCCTTTAAGTGAATTGAAGCACTGTAATATAGTAAGAAAGCTAAGTCAAAACACATTTTAAAAGATTGTGTTTTAGGAGTGGCTTACTAGGAGAGTCTGCTGGTCTGGGATAGCAAAGTGCACTGCCATCCAGGCAGGGAGGGGAAGAGGG